TCTGCCATCTAGAGGTACTATTTCCTCAAATTTTCTCACCTCAGCTCCAACCATTGTGGGGCTGAGGTGGGTGTCGACTCACAAAATGCCCTCCCCCTCCACCTTTCAAAACAGATCTGTGCCCTTCCCTGGGCACAGACATTAAACTCCATCGAGTCGGCTCCTGATGTATGTCTATAATGACTGCTGTTTGTTTTTAGGATGTGATCTGGTTTTTCATGTACATTTTTCGTGATTATGACTATTCTGGATAAAGAATGTTTTGAGCAGAGGTGGATTCAAGGCCTTCCCCCCACCCCCCTTTCATTTTTTTAAGGAAAAAAAAAAGAAAAATATATTCAAATTGAAGTGCGAGAGTATATTCAAATTGAAGTGCGAAAGTGTAATTTCCGGCCATCTAGAGATGCCCTAATCATAAACCACCCACCTCAGCCCCATGGTGGGGCTGAGGTGGGTGGTTCCTCGGTCTGTGAAAGTCCCTCCCTGGTTCACCTCTCTTTCGAATTCCTGGATCTGCCACTGTTGATTTATTATATAATTATTTTTGCGCTTATGTATAATGCGTCTATTGCAATTTTCACTTTATCCTCTCAAACAGTCCTAAGAACGTTCAGAGTGCGCTACTTCACAGGGGGATTCGCCCCCTTGACCCCGCCGGGGTCATACGTAATTCGCATAACGGCTCCCCCACCCCCTTTCAAAATCCTGGCTACGTCCCTAGCTCATACTATTATAAATGCCTAATATAGGCCTAAGCAATTGGTGAAACACAGAGTTCTCAATCATAGGAACAAATTATGTTGAGATCAAAAGCATAGATCTTCAACATAAGGTTTTTTATCCGTTGTTTGAAAAAGTAACTCTTTGATTATCCGGGGTCTAAAAATCGTTCACGCTGTGCCTATAGTCATAATTAAAACTATATCCTCTCGGTATCTCGAGTCGGTGCTGGTACTGGTATTGATTGTTGTTTGTTTAACCATCAATGGTCCTACTCGAACCCTGTTACCTTTATCTTTTTTGTTTATATTATATTAGGATGCTATATTATATATCTGTCTCTTATACACATCTAGATGTGTATAAGAGACAGCATAATATATATATATATATACATTTTCATAATATATGAAAAATTGTGCTTTCTCAACTTTTACTTTTTCTGGATGCGCTAACTGAAAGTAATATTTTATTTTTATTCAAAATCATTGGTGGGGTGCACGATGTATTTGAATCTGTCTCTTATACACATCTAGATGTGTATAAGAGACAGGTATAATATACTTGTATATATATATATATGTATATATATATTATATATATTAAGATATGATTAATATATATATAAATCAAATAGATAATAATCAGTGCTCAAATATTATATAGGAACATGACGTTATAAATGGTATCAACATGCTTCATCAACGAAAGTTCCATATTAGCATTGTATGAGAAAAGAGGTCTCTTTTTCCCCCAGAAACTTCTTTTTTATACAACTATCATGACAACAAATGACGACATCGAACTTACCTGAATTGCCCTCGATGCCATTGCTACCGGCTAGTTTTGACGTGGTTGCGTGGTGAACAATATTGGTCTTGCAAGGTGTACAAGAACATGTGATAACTCCAGCATATAGCCACGCTCTTTTATAGCAATATTTCAACTTCAAGATGATCCTTACCACTTCATTGGACACTTGTTATAAGAATACTGACGAGAAGAGGTCCTGTTGTCCATATCATTTTACGGATATTTCTTCATTTTTTTGTTATCTATTAATCCTAAAATCAATGATAATCCCTTAGGAGATTGTTTTCAATATAAGATAATTGATCTGAATTCTATTATAATTCGTACAGTGGGCCTATTATATACAAAATGTAAAAATATAAAATATAATTTTTTATAAGTGATTGTTGTCTGGAATTGACTGGCATCTTTGAATAAAGTGAGTAAAAGAAGGGACACCACATGGTTTCAAAATGACAATAAGCAGAGGTCTTTTTTATTTATTTATTTTTTTTATTTTATTTTTTTTTTAATTATATAACTTGTGCCCGTTCCCGCTGCACCAAACTGCTTTACGGTTTGGCAGAAACACATTGAAAAAAAAAAGAAAAACATTTAATTTTAAATTTGAGGGTTGGGATGTTCCTTTCTTAAATTAGGTCTATATTAAATTAACTCTCCTCATCCTATTCTTATTTAACATCCATTTTCAAGTTTTTCGTGTACTTACTTTCAAAGATTTAAATGAAATCCGGTGTCCTGGATTTAAGCGTCTATTTTGCTTTAAACACTATCACAAATATGAAGCCAATTTTGATTGATATGCTAATGAAGTAGAATGTACTCTAACTGAACATCCGCACTTCTAATTTTCTTTTTATTATATAATTGTTATCAAATGACGTAGGCCTATTCTTAAGTGATACCAATTCAATATTTCAATCTAATTTCTTGTATCGCTTCGAATATCCTCTTGGTCCAATACTCTGCTGAAATAAATCCAATAGCACAACACCAAATCATGCAATGGTACGGTATGCATTATGGAGTAAGGACGTCACTCCACACAAAGGTTAATTGACCCGTACATTCATTTATCTTTCGGAGACTCTGCTCTTCCGAGAAGAACACATTCAAATTCACGAAAAAAAAAACCTACTTTAAAGCGTAATACTGAATGGGAAATATTAAACAATTAGCATTAAGTCAATTGCCAATAATATATAACTAGACCTATAACGAGAATGTTAACGTAAAGTATAACAGTTCTTCTTCGACTTCACATTCAGTCTTTCGACATCATTCCACCACTGTTTCCATTTTCCGTCCGAGGCAAGATGATTTGTTGCTGTGTTTGTTTTGCACGTCCTTCTAGATCTTTTTAAATTTCGCTTACCCAGTTATTTCTGGGACTTCTAACTGGTCCTGTTAGGTGCACGATGTATTTGAATTACTGGGGTTCATCTTAATATTAGTCTCGCAACTCTTTTCTAATTCTTAGATATTACCATTTGAATTAGGCATATAGTACCACAAAGTCGAACAGTAGTCAACATATGATGAAAAAGAAAAGCATTATACAAAAATAACTGGGAGTGACTTTTATTTAATCGGTAAGACAGATGTAGAATTTGTCGAAGGTTTACTCAACAAATTGACACCGACATCACGAAGGGACACACTCTTTAATTGTCATCCAGCGTAATTTTAGAAAAACGCGTTTGAAATGTCTACTCCACAATACTGTAAATTTTGCTATTAAGATATGGAAATATGAAATAAAGAATTTAATTTAATTTTATAATTCAATTGTTCAATAATTAACCTTGTAATTGGAGCGAAATATTTGTGTCTGTTCGTAAAAACTATAAAAAAAACAAAAAAAAAACACAATATTGCCTTTTTAACACACAGTCGAGAATTGTCTTTTTGTGAAAACGCAAATCTCATACTGTATCGCGTTTTTGCGCACTCAGTTGTCAGGAGAAAACAAATTGAACTGGATTTGGAGTCGCGAGCTGTACCAACATGGGACACAAGGTTGCAGGGGTGGATGGGGTCGCATGTAAAATTGTATGGGTCATATAGACTAAATCTGGACTAAAAGGTACATATCTGCTGGATCTGTGTAATGATTGACAGAGCCATCAGTCACTAGACACTACAAAAACAAGTAGTCCTATATTATATGATATGAAATATATTTTTTATTGTTACATTGAATAGTTAAATGCGTTTGCTGGTGTTATTAATTTTATTAGTAATTCTTGTTAAGTTAATCTGTTTTAAACCGAAAGGCCACTGATTAATTTCAGATAAGATAGTATAATGCATATTCCAAGTATCGAAATGCACGCAATCGTGTCGGGATTCAATATTTCGACATTAATTATATCATCATCAGGAATGTCGAAATATTGAATCCCGACACGATGGCGTGCATTTCGATACTTGAAGTATGTATTATACTATCTTAATCTGTTTTAAAATGAATGTATAAGGTTAATATCAACATGAATGATATTATCGTGTGTACTGTGTGAATTAATTTGGTGAGGAATACAGATGGAGGCAGGTGATTCCACACATTGATGGATGGTAGGAAAAAAGAAAATCTGTAGGTGTTCGTTTTGGATGAAAAGTGTCTGGAGTAATATTTAAGGCAGTTGATGATGGAATGGGCCTTCAATCTGCTGACGAAACGTGCAATTCTTTCTGTGATTTTTTGTAGGTGTTAGTCGAGCAGCTTGCCTCTTTTATTCCAAAAATACAAGATACACTGCACTATAATTGTAACTTCAGTACATAAATCTTACAGCAGCATACGTTGCACTTGTACTTTTACGGCTTATAATAATGCTCATCTTTGAGTATGGGTCCCAGATAGATCCGGTTTGTTCTAGTATTGGTCGAAATATAGTTGTAACCCAGTTCCTTTGTTCTGAATATGTGTGTAACTCACCATTTGGACCACTCAAAATATCCCAGTCCCTCTAAATAGGGGTGGCAAATTAATAGGGCTTGACTGCAGTGTCCGTCCCCTTAATGGGGTACGGTATTCCTTGATAGGTGTCTAAAAGGAGGGGGTGGAAGGGGGTTCTACTCTTTATTTAAAAATATGCCTTAAGTAAAAACACAATATCAAGTCAGGCAAAGACGACTTCCGTTTGAAACCACAACCGTTTATTTTCAAAATTAACATTTAAAAAAAATAACAAAATAGTCTCTACAAATAACTATCATAACGAATGTGGAAAATTGTACCTTTTGTGAATTTCTGTAACTCGCCGGTAGGAGATTTGGATGCTTTACAAATTCAGGCATTTAATGCTTCGAGTTCGAGAGATGGCCTACTATACTAAAAGTTAATGAGAAATAATTCAAAAAAATTCAAAGTAAATTATTTTTTTCTTTATAATTGAATATCACTAGGTTGTGTTAAACTGACTTTATCTGCCACAGGTTAAGCTGGTGTGTCTCAAATGAGATCTGCTGGTTTCAGTTCTGGTTCCTCTGGTGCTGCTGCCTTTTCTTTGTTATACCACCAGAGGCTGGTGCGACAAGAACAGCAAGACGGTAGACGGATGTTCTGCCACTGAAAGATGTTGTATCCCCATCCACAGCCTGTGAATTTGTACACAAGAGCTCTGGTGTATCGGTACTTCTGATAGCAATTACCTTTGACTCCTTTACAAGTCTTCGATCTGAAAGACGTTAGAACAAAAAAAAAAACGTTTTTAATACATTGTATGAAATGTGTTCTCAACATTGCTATATCACGAATAATAATAATAATAATTATTATTATTATTATTATTACAATTGTCAAGGTCATAGTGATCATTGTCATTGTCATCATCATCATCACAATAACCGTAACCATCATTATTACCATAATTATGTTAGATGGGTAAATATGATAATTATGATAATAATTATCATAATTATGTTAGATGGGTAAATAGCAAACTGTCAACAACAAAAACATTAAGTAATAATTAGTTTGACACAAGGAATTATATATATTTATGATTATGTTATATAAAAAATAGAATTTAGCTCACTTGCATACAGCAGAGTGGAAATATTGTCTGTACCAGGAGGTCTGTAATATCTTCACCCATTGGCCGCCGGTGGTTTGGGCGTAATAGAGACGTCCATAAACGGTCTGCTCTGGACATACGTCCTGGTAATAGGGAATCTTCTTAGCAACCCTGCTGCAGAGTGATCAAAAAATTAGTATGTAGTATTATGGTCAAAATATTTTTAAAATGACATTTTTCTTACTAGACAACATTCACAAATCACAAAAATAAACATTAGTAAAAGTAGGTATGGAGGTCGACATGAGCGCTCTGCGCGCAACTGAACGGGACTGACAGGCGCATAAATTTTTCGACGTGAGTTGAGATGAGTTCCTACCAGTTCATTGTCGACCTGAGCCTGCCTTAATATAGGCTTATACCTTGATTTTTTTTGTGTGTTTCTTAACTTCAATAATATATACAATTTAGAGGTATACTATTTTGTATAATTGAGTGCCCACATTCATCAGGTACAAATACATAGTCTATGTGTATTTTAATTGTATCTAGGCCTATATATATATTTCTATATATAATATACATATATAT